TATATATATATATATATATATATATATATATATATATATAGAGGCTTATAAGCGCGTGTTTAAAGTGTGTGGAGTTTTTCATGACTGATTATAAACTTGCCGCCTACATTAGTGCAAAGTGAATTGGGGTTTATTGCATAACAACAGCAAGAACACAACATCAGACTTTCTCCATTCTGCATGAATTCGTTTAAAGTGACAGAAAAATTGATAAAGTGCTTTTGCATTATTTCTATATTTTTATATGTGTATTTTTAATTCCTAATGATACTTATGATAGATCTTATATGCACTGGAAGATCCTACCGTTAATATTTTCCACCCCGCTTACTACTTGAAGCTGGTGATTGCAGCATTTTGGGATGCTTTTACATTGAATTCCACATGACAACATAAATCTCATTCATTGTAGCGAACATAGTATTCACGTACATTTTAAAAGTGATAAGTTTGTTTTTGTGACATTTAAAGTAATCAGCGCATCACGGTCTTTGCGTAAGTTAATGCAATGTAGCCCGTAATATGAAACTAGAATTAGACCTAATGTCTGGTGCTTCTCGTCAGACATCTGTTTGTAGTGATTTGGGGTTGGTGCTCATTTTTCTGAGGAGTTCTGTGCCGTTTCCTTTGCTCGGACTTTGTTTTTCTGCGCCACATAATGACTCGGTCACCCCTTCCTCCATTTCCATATACTCGGCTTTATCTCCTAAGGAGGAAGCCGTCGGGGACCCCTTGAATTTCTTGAGGAAGTTTGTCGGGAAATATGGGCACGGAGGCATGTTTTGTACTACTGGCGTTTGATCTTCATTGTCGGTCTCTCTGTGATAAAAGTAATTGAAGTTGGACACAATGACCGGGACGGGCAGAGCTATGGTTAACACGCCGGCTATGGCACACAGGGAGCCCACTATTTTTCCGCCGACCGTTATTGGTTTCATATCCCCGTAGCCCACCGTTGTCATTGTAACGACCGCCCACCAAAAAGCGTCGGGGATGCTAGTGAACTGAGAGGTGGGCTCATCGGCTTCGGCGAAATACACGGCGCTTGAGAAGAGGATGACCCCGATGACGAGGAAGAAGATTAGCAGTGCCAGCTCCCTCATGCTGGCCCGCAGGGTATGCCCGAGGATCTGCAAGCCCTTGGAGTGTCTGGAGAGCTTGAAGATACGAAAGACTCTAACGAGTCGAATTATCCTTAGGATGGCGAAGGTCATCGCCTGCTGCCCGTTGCCCTGCTGCTGGGCAAGGTCTGTGCCGAGGGTAATGAAATAAGGCAAAATGGACACTATGTCGATGGAGTTCATGATGTTTTTAAAGAAGGCGGGTTTGCTGGGGCTCGCGAAGAAGCGAACTATTATCTCAAAAGAAAACCAAATAATGCACACAGTCTCCACAATGAAGAAGGGGTCGTTGAACGGGGTAAATCCATTGTCTGCACTTGTTAAATTGCTACCAGCGCCAATGAAGTCTTTTTCATCCCTGAACTCCGGTAAAGTTTCTAAACAGAAAATAACAATAGATATAACGATGACTAAAACAGACACAACCGCAATTCCTCGTGCAGGGCTTGAACTTTCGGGATATTCAAAAAGAAGCCAGATCTGGCGTTTGAATTCGTCCTCCGGCAAGGGCTTCTCCTCCTCTTTTACAAAGCCCTCATCCTCTCGAAACTTGAGCATGGCATCTTCTCCAAGTTCGTAGAATTTGACCTCCTCGGAGAATATATCGAAGGGGACATTGACAGGTCTCTTCAACCTCCCCCCCGACTGGTAATAGTACAGAATAGCGTCAAAGCTCGGTCGGTTCCTGTCAAAAAAGTACTCGTTTCTCAGAGGATCAAAGTACCTGATCCGCTTATCCGGGTCCCCTAGGAGGGTGTCGGGGAACTGGGTGAGAGTTTTCAGCTGCGTCTCAAACTTCAAGCCAGACACGTTAATCACAACTCTCTCGCAGCACCCGTACTCACTGTAAACATTTTCGTAGCTTGACTGCGGTCGCCTGTCAGTAATTGACACTGAATCGTCTTCATCATCCATATTACAGCGGACACTGCTGAGCCGCTCTCTGCTCCTGATGCCACCTCCTTCTTCGTCCTCGTCTCCTTCTTCGCCTTCAGCTTCCTCGTCTTCTATCATAATGTCCTCCTCAGAGCCGAGAAGAGCCAGCTCCGACTGGCGCAGCTCCCCGCCGAGAGCTCGACGGTTTCTCCTCCGGTACTCTGCGCCCCGTTGCTTTTTCCTTCCTCGGAGAACTTGCTGCTGAGACTGTTGCAAGGAGGAGGGGCCCGAGGCGGTACCAGCGCCACTGTTGCTGGCATGAAGCAAAGAGGCGGTGCGAGACTGATGCTGTTGCTGGATGTGGTTGTTGGGGTGATGAGTGGAAGAAGTTCCTCCTTCTCCACCCGATGCACCTTCGGCAGCTGCCGCCGATCTCGCCTGCGCCTGTCTTTCCCTGCCGCGCTCCCGCTCCCTAGCCCGCGCCTGGGCATATCCGTAAGGCAGGTGGGTGCCGCCCCCACCGCTTTCGGCACCTACCATGGCGAACTCCATTTTGGCTTTCTTGGTTTTGCAGTTGAAATTAACTGGATAGCTGAAATTGGTCTCTCCCAAGCAGAAGCACGGAATTGTTTTTTTTTTTTTTTAGGGCGGGGGGACCTGATGGGTAACTAAATAACGCATTGTCAGAAGCGTGCACGTGTTATTCTGTGCATGCAACATACACTCATCTTTATGTTAGACGTCCAGTCGCGGTGCCATGCTAGCAGCATTGTTCTATGAGTTGCTTGTAGTCTCAGGCTCCGAGGTAAAGTTCCAAAGATAAGACTCCAGCCAGTCAATAATTCAGCTCAATTCATTCAATTCATTCCCACTATCCAAGAAAAAATCTTTATAATATAGCCATATCGTTGTTGTCCGAAAAATAATAATATATAAATAAAAACGAGTGAATATTGACGTTGGGGGGTCGGTCTTCTGTTTGTAAAATAAATAGGCTATATTTACAGTCCAAATACATCCATGCAAGGTTTTTGAGGAAGCCTTTCGGAAATTACAGAAATAATCTTTAAAGGAAAATTACGTTTTAGATGTCATGTCTCTCCCCCCAAAAATCACTTCTCTTGTGTCCTTCATTGTTAACTCTTTGGATGTCGAAGTACGCAGGCATAAAGCGATAATTTCTTTGAGGAATTATTTATTGGACTTGGGATTTTAGGATGGGTGGGGTTAATCGAAAGCTACGTCCAGTGTTTGGTGTTTACTTTATTTCTTCAAGACGAGCAACATCTGAGGCAAGAAAAACAAGAGCGTTACTATTAACAAAACGATCAATTATTCGTATTCGAAAAAAAATAATAATTATAAATTATCATATTGTCAAAAATTAATTAATAATTTATATATTACGACAGGAATAACCAATCTCTCACTGTCAAATACAACAAAGATAATAACTGCTAGCTCCGCAACAGGAGAATGAGTGTTATTGCATTTTTCTACAGTATCAAGCAAACCACAAATTCAGACACTCGTTATTCTATGCATATTAAACCTCCAGCCCCGCGTTACAAAATACTCCAACGTAATTCACACAGATACGCTACTTACATATGAAAAGGCCAGACTATTATCTTCTTTACTTGCACCTGAATTTCGTTCCCAAGCTCACGTTTGCGTGATATCCAGTATGTTGGAAATCCATCGATGCATTTCTCCGTCTGACAACTGAACCTTTACTTGTACTGTCTATCGCATTCAAGGGCTTGCACTTTTGAGGCGTCTCGATAGGATTTTATTGGTAACTGACATCAAAATAGGAGTCGATAATAATAATAAAAATAGCGTTAAAGATTCATCGTCTTTTGCGATGAAATAGATGTAAAAAAGATAATAAAGCAAAGTCTAGGCTAGGTATACAAAAACAGTGTCGACTAACGCTGTTGTATACGTATTTTTGATTTAGCTTCAAGGTGATGCAGCTGTTTGTAACGTAATTCAACAGGATCAATCATTATTCGCTTCTCACCTTGCAAAAACGAAATTTGCCTCTGCCTCCATTCTTGCGAAAAACAGTGTTCACACTATTGGTGATTTCATACACTTGGCACTGACGGCACAACTTATAATGCTTGAAAGTTTTATCATTTAAATTGTAAAGGTGGGCGCGAGTAACGCATCTGTCCGCAGCGCTTGCCTGCTACCTATTCTGCATGTGTTGTTGAGGAGCACGGTGGCTGCGCTGGGCATGCTGTGTTGCACTTACCGGCCTTAGACCATCCCTCAGTGGCTGTATTGTGACATTGCACTAGTAATAGTAATGCTGCAGTCTCAAACTTTAGCATCCAAGTCAGCTGTTGCCATTTATTTGCAAGGTGCCCATTACTGCCAAAAATCAATCAATCAATCAATCAATCAATCAATCAATCAATCAATCTATCTATCTATCTATCTATCTATCTATCTATCTATCTATCTATCTATCTATCTATCTATCTATCATCTTACTAAGCTACCACTAGTACAAAGTGGAAAGTAAGTGGTACAGAAGGAGGGAAAGGTGCATATTTAGGCAGATGTATACAGCAAGAGCATGGAGTTTGGCTTTGTAGCCTCATTCCACCCATAAAGGTTGAAAATAACCTTGGGGGGTGCCCCTAGTATCGGTTTGGGATACCGCATTATATTTTTCAGTATGGGCTAGGTAGCAACTATAGAGTAAAATTTTATTGCAGTCAGCAAAATTTAGAGGAGGTTAGCCTGTACATTAGCTTGTACATTGACGTGCCCCTGGTAACACGCTGATTAAAAACACAGAGGTTTGTGAGTTTGAGTCCCAAGATCCCCATCAACTGAATCTAGCAAAGCATCAGTCTCTGAGTGAAAATCTCCTTTGCTCTTGATAGAAACATCTGCTTGAAACAGGTTTTCCTAAGCAGCTCCTTAACTGTTTTTTTTTTTTTTTTTTACCATTTTTTACTCTATGCTGAACATTAGTATAGAGTATGTGCAAAATTGTGAAAGCAGAGTGAGAAATTTTATTCTGTTTTTGTGTTGACTGTATCTTCTCTTGCAAATCACATAATAAGTATAGCTCCCAAAAATGCCTGTCTGTTTTTAATCTTACTTTTCATTGCCTTTTCATTTCAACCTGCATGTTTTATGTTCAAAATGATATGCTTCTGATTCAGCCATGATATGCTTCTGATTCAGCCAAGCAGATTGTGACACTTTCCTACAGGTGAGCTATTGTCCCAGTAAAAAAGCTGACCCAGTTGTGTCACGCTGCAAAAATACTGTCCTCAACATACATCTTCATACTTTGGTCATCTGATATTTTAAAGTAGGAACTTTCATTGAGCTGCAACAGGTTACTGTGCAATTCACAGTTTTGACTTCAGTAGATATATTTCATGTATTGCGTCACAAAATGTCATACAAAAGTTTTTTTTTAACGTATAACATCAGACAGAATATATATTTTTATTTCTACCAATTGAAGTGTTTGGTTTACCTACAACTCAATAGGATTAATTTAATTTTCAACTTCACAGATTTTATACAAGATATCACTTTGATTTAGTGAATCTGAAATGCAATTTGTCATCTCAAGTAACAATAAATACGGCATGTTTCCTCCTTTGTTTGGTCCACTAATTTTATGCAACACATAGCTGTTTAAAGCACATGTCTTTAAAAAAACAACTAGCAGAATGAATTCCCTGTACTGCATGCCAAAATACTGCAATGGATACTTCCTGTTTCATAGCAAATGCATCCCTTGCACAATTTATTACGCTACTGGGCAGACTTTTGAGGGACCGTATGTTCTAACATCCTGCTACATCATCTGTGCAAATGAAAGGAAACTGTCACGGCCGCTGCCAAATGAGTGAATCTACTTGCTATATTATAATGCCGATTTCTTGAAAAACAGGATTACCAATTTCTCTTGCAAGGTATAGCTCTTCAAGCCGAAAATTGAAGAATAGATGTCAGCTACAATTTCTTGTTTGTTTGAAAAGGTGATTGAAATCTTCCAATGAATTTTATAGGTTGCTATCATCATTAAATTATCGCATATATCAAAAGAATAAGATTGCAATCTATTCTAATTAACTCTATAAACTGATTGTGGGTGCAATCCAGAGTGCATGTAAGAGAATACATTCAGCTATATGTTTGAAGTTCACTCTTTTGTCACTGCTAAATATGTGGGAGTATTGACCTTGGATCACTGATCTGTCCCACGCTATGAGGAGGGGAAAATGAAAAGTAAAACCACTATATTCCACTTGCACTTATGTTTGGCCAGACATCATTATCTGTATAGCCATGACAACAATCATTCTAAGAGTTGTGTCTCCCCACACAGGTAAACCCTAATTGGCTGAAACATGTCATTTGGGTTCCCCATGGCTGAAAAAAGGATAAAAGCCAACGGGTTCCAGATGTGTCTCTGGGAGTCCGACAGGTGAGTGCCTTGCCTCTTATTCTCCTGTTTTCCACTCTGCAGGCTGCGGCCATATGCTGCTCTTTTCTAATCTTTCCCTCTCTCCAATTTTCTCTGAAAATATTTTCAGAATGTATTGTCTTCTTGCTGCAATGCGATGCTAAACTTGAAACTTTTTCATACAGTTAATTTAACTTGTCATAGTCGAGCTCAGGAAATGAAACACAACTGGACACTGAAATTTGTTGAATTTATTTATCCAGTTAGAAGTTTTGTCATATTTTGAGGGTGTTCTTTAAGTCTGTTTGATGGAATTGAGTCATTTGAGGGAACATAACTACTGTGGGTTTGCATCTCTTGACTGGTGAGCCAAAAGATCATCTGTTTCCTATTTCAAAACCATTCACCGAACAGGAGTGCAGGCAAACTTTCCACATTTGATCTCATTCCACGAAATCCTCGCTGCCACCGTCACTGGAGGACTGAGGAATGGACCGTGTGCTGCTGCTGGTAGTGATGGTGTGCTGGACACTGTCAGGGGTCAGTCCTCAGTGTGACATGGTCAACATCTCTGTCCCCTTGGAGAGAGAGGAGTGTGGAAAATGCATCATGATCGATGTAACCTCCTGTGCAGGCTTCTGCCTCACTCAGGTACTGTGCGTCCCTCACTTCAGTGTTAAACAGTCAGCCATATTTCATTTGGCTCAGGGCATTTTACAAGGCTGCAAGCATTTTTAAAGCATTAAACATACATATCACACACAGGGGACACCACAACATGAAAACATTAGGCCATTTGAGGGAAAATATTACTACTCAGATCTTGATTTCTGTGTCCTAATTTAATTTGCCATTCTTGCGAGAGAACACATCACACACTGCAGTTTAAAGAATATTTTAATAAACTGCATACAATACATACTACAATCATAATTCTTTATAACCCCAAGGTCAGAATAGGCCAATGTTGTGATGGCGGATGTTTCAAGGCAGTCTTGTCTGTGATGGGATTTTCATTGGCTGGGTGTGGTGACAGTGTTCTCTGCATTGGCACCGTTTACAGGATCATGCGTACAAAAGCTCCCTAACCCCACACGTGCAGCACTCCTGCAGCTTCTCAGAAGTTACCTACAAGACGGTGCACTTGCCCGACTGCCCAGAGGGAGTGGACCCCACTGTCACCTACCCAGTTCCCCTCAGCTGCAAGTGCCACCAGTGCAGCGTGGAAAGCACAGACTGCAGCAGCTTCCACATGCTGACCTGCCAAACCCACTAGGCAGTGTTTCAGAAGAAGCACAGTAAGAAAGGGACCTTGGTGCAGCAAGAAATAATGACTTTTTTCCCTTTAACGTGAATCTGTGAACCTTAGGAGATTAAACAGATTTTATTACTGCACTCATTTTGACTACCCTTTCATAACATATACATCACACAATGGCATGGAGGGAACGGGCAGCACCCATGTGGACGTTGTTTGCGTGAAATTTTATGTTTGTTTGAATCAGCGCAGCATGAGCGTGTTTCAACAGCAATGTCCATGTTCATGTGTTAATGTAACACCCTAGATCAAAACTGTAAACAAAGACAAGGAGCTGCAGTTGATTATATGCGGAAGGATTGAAGATAAGTTATAGATGGAGAGGATCTGTATCAGGTATTCACTGCAGTGTGCCATGCTCAGCCCTCTGTGCCGCAGTGTCTCAGGCCTGCTGAAACAGTCCGGGTGGTACTGATGTCACGCTCTTATTCAGAACCTCACTAGACTCTCTGGGATTTCTGCTGCTTGTACGGGAAGTCAGCTTTCAGTTAACAGGTACAGGGAGCTTACTTCTGAAGCACCTTGATAGATATACAGTAAATATTTCAGAACAAGGCGATGACCTCAGAAAATCCCCCAAAAATGTTTTTGTGTATTGCTGGAAACTTACTGTTACACAGTACATATAATGTATTAAGTGTATCGCTGTGGTGGGAAATGGAAATGAGTGACAGCTTCTCTGCCCAGGAGTTCATTGCTAATTCCAACGTGACATAAATACTACAACAACTTACAAAATGAAGTGTCAGGTGTATGTAAAGACTGTTCCATAAAAGTCACCTTGTTGGAGCAAAGTTATATATTACCTCCACAACCTTCTGGTGTCTCGATTCAATCAAGCAATATGTGTGTCCTTGAATGGCTGAAACCAATTATTTAAAAATTTCACAGAAATCATATTGAAAGTTGTTCAAGTTACGTTATTTGCAGTTCATAGACACTATAATATGCACAAGGACAAGAGAAATGCAGTTTGACATTTAGACTGTGGCTCAGGACTGACCTCAGCGAGTGCTAATAAGTTCTTCCATCTTTAAGTTTATTGTAATTTGGGTCGTAAATCCAGTCACACACATAAAGAGTTCCATGCACCAGATGGCATTTTATGCACCAGCCATAAGGTATTTCACAGTGTTCTGAGCAAATTAATGCATTCTCTATATAACTGCCAGAGAAAGTGTAAGAATCAAAGTATTTCTCGTTATCTTTGAAAAATTTTAATATAGGTTTGACTCGTGACTCACTTTTGACTTGAGGGGAAGTCTGCAGAGTCAGCAGAAGTGCACTCACTGGATTGCTATTAAACACACAAATGTAATGCATGCACCTGGTTACTGAAAGCAGTGTCACAACAGTGTTATAAGGAAATGTGGTAAATCCCTCCCATGGTAAACTACACTAATCCCATATAAATGTTTAAAAATTGCAAATTAAAAACAAGCTGTGGCACATGGCTTTAGCCCATATCAGGTATCTACTTAAAAAGAGGCCATACAGACTAAACAAATGAGTCAGCAAAGTCCTTGGTAGATTTAATTACATGGGGTACAGCGAAACTGTCCATCAACACGCCGGCATCCTTCAGAGACTGCAAGCCCCTCACACAGTTGTGTCCTCCTCTTCACTCACCTCTGAGACACCAAAGCCCCTCACACAGTCTGTGTCCTCCTCTACACTCACCTCTGAGACACCACACTGCTTTCTACATTTATCTTGCCAGCATATGACACCTGAACCCAATGTAGCCCTTTTAATGACCCAGCTCTTATTTTGTGTATGTTGGTCTTGTGATAAAGCAGTTTTTGTTAAATCAGTCTCTGCTACCATCCCCGTGCCACAATTTTGCTTATTGTCCCACCTGGAGTAGGTCTAATACTTACACTCCCCATGTGTAAACCAATGCACATCCCCCACCAAAACAATTCATGGATTACATAACCCTCACATTCACCAAATGTACTAAATGAGCGTCAAAAATTTCATACATACTGACCAGCATAACATGAACTTAGGGCTGTGATCAGGTCACTGGTTCTAGCCCAGCCTCGGCAAAATATATCTGTAACCCTATAACCTCCTGCTCTATGGGTGCTGCTGCAGGTGCCTGCCCTTTGGTGCCAAGCTAGCTCTCAGCTACACGAGATACGTGGAGAGCAAGAGGGGGAAGGCAAAAAACTATTTCCCCATGAGGGATTAATAAAGTGTCGTTGTCTTCCTTATAGATATTACTAATACCATGAACACTGTGGCAACAGAATAAATCCTTACTCACACTACAATAGGTAATTTTCTCTTTTAAACACAAATTAGATTTTTAAATAAAATTCACGAATGAGGCACATAGCATAACGATAAATGTAAAGACCTCAAAGTTGTCCTGGAACAATCCCACAACAAGCTACCCTGCATTTATGTTTTGAAGTGTACTTCCTTCACTTGCTCAACAATCAGAAAAATATACAGGTTTAATAAATTATCACATATAACACAAACAGCTAACCCGAATGTCACAGTCAGTACAACCATGGTCTTACGTATCTCTAAATCGCCCATTGAGGGTGGGTTTCTGCCCTGCAAATGGACTGATATCCCATGAAGGATGGACCTTCCTCAAGCCCTAGAACAGGACCCAGGCTCTCCCCAATCCAATCCTGTACCAAAAACGACTCCTTTAAGAACATTAGCATATCGTAATGGGTGAGGGTTTCCAGTAAACCATTTAGGGTGAAGGCAATTTAATTAATATTGTAATTAAAAATTTACAGATGGGAAACAAAATGTATAAAAGCAATCAGCCCAAGAGGCACAAGATAATTCTGTGATCAACTGGACCTAATTTATTAACCCTTGTACCCTCGCATATCCATGTTTTTCACTGAATCATCTAAATAATTATATCTGGAGAATGTGTAAAATAAAACTGTTTTCAAACCTTTGAAGTTAATTCTGCTCACTTCCACATCCAGGATAACTTCCTGCCCATACCCCAGAAGGTAAAAAAGGTACATTTCCTGTTTAATTTAAAAAAAATGCTCATGCTTTTCGGCTTGCCTCTGCCCAATCAAACACCATTGTTTTTGTAGACTGAAAAATAAGTTTAAATGTATAACCATGGTTAAATTCTTTTCCCTCTTTTGTTTACATTCTTATGCATGGTCTGTTTTATCCCAGGGAAAGCATTACAGTGAGATCAGGCCTTAGGAAAGCGGGAGATGAGGATGCATGTTTGGTTTGGCCTTAAAATACTGATCCCAAAACTTTGTGACGGGAAAGATAAAATGGGAGAAAATAAATCAGAGCAGCATTTAAAAATATAAAACACAATTTATTTGACACAAATGACATGCATGTGACCAAAATCCATATATATTTACAACTAAATCACTGCAGATTGTTTATCTTCAGTCCTGCTATTAAGGGGCCACACTGACCAAAGCTTTACACACCACCTGAGACCTTTTTGAGAATTTAAGAACAAAGTATTTAACTAATTTAGTGGTCTCTGTGTTTAACAGTATAGCTCATTAAAGAGCTGGAAAACAAACATCCACTGCTGATGTAAAGAACACAATTTCAAATCTTATAAAGTATACTACGGAAATTAAATTAATACTCCTCAGTCAGAAGAACCGTGGTCATAAGCAAAGAAATCCGTTTTGACTTTATACAATAGCATTGTGCACAAGTGGATTCTGTGGAGACGTCTAGCCTAGCTAGCGTACTTGTTCCGGATGATCTCCCCTCCTTCCACCTCCACCTGTTCGTACAGCCACTTGCGGTTGCAGCGGCACTCCACACCACACTTGCGGGAGCCACAGCCAGGGCACGGGTAGAAGCAGCCCATGCATTCCACGTCCAGGCAGTCGCACACGTCACAGCCGTTAGCGATCAGCAGGCCTTTGCTGTCATACACTTTACTCTTTGTACCCATGGTCTGCCTGAAAGGCAGAAAAGTATGTAGGGGTCCAGCCTGCAAAGTGGTCGAACACACCAGTGTGCTACATTTTAAATAACACCTCCCACCAAACCAACTTCTAACCCTTGAGGCCAGTTCATACTTCGCACATGAACCGTGCATTTGGATATCCAAACTTGCAACAGACACAGAACTATTCATACTTCTACGCATAAAATGTGCACATTTGTAAAATGCATGGGAGGAACAGAGGTGAAAAAAGTACCCAGTTTCATACAGTGATTTAGCAATTTTGCAAAATTTAGTAACTACAAATGTATCAGAAACATACAATGAACAAGAAACATAGCAGTTAAACTTAATGGTTTAAACACATCGTAACTTGAAACTCAAAGCTACATAAAATAAGTAAAACTCTGTATTAATATGGTTAAATGCAAAAACATATTTGGCAACAATGTCCTGATTGAAATTGATCCAAATTTGCATAATCCAATATAAAACCCAAAGGTCGATTTTCAAATATATGCCTTTTATGGTCTATGTCCTTTACCCATGAATGTGTAAAGCGTTTAGCCGTTAGCCTCGCGCAGCCAGCCTCGCACAACAAGAACCAGCAGACAAAACCAGATCAAACATACAGTGGGAGCTGCTCCACTGAAGATGCAGCATGATATCACATCGCAATTATTTGAAATATGTGGGCTTAATATTGCACTATAATAAAAAAAAAGATTTCCCCAAAATAAACTAACTATAGCCAAAAAGAACTTATCTACCAATGGAGTGTCTCAAGTAAGTTGGCGATGTTGCCGTGAGTTGTGTCCTGACTCCATCGAAGTGTCCTTGAGCAAGACACTAAACCCCAAATTGCTCCCGGTGAGCTGGTTGGCGCCTTGCATGGCAGCCTCCGCCACCGGTGTGTGAATGTGAGTGTGGATGGGTGAATGTGAGGCATAACTGTAAAGCGCTTTGGTACTCGTAAGAGTAGTGAAAAGCGCTATATAAATGCAGTCCATTTACCATTTACAGAGATTCAGGTAACAGCCATAAAAATTTGTCCGGACACTGGCTTTGTGGTGCTATACAGACATTTACCTCACAATTTGATAAGCAGATTAGCAGTATACCTAAAATGAAAGAGGTGGACTGTGGTGCCCAAAAGTTAATATGCACCGCCACACCACCACCGTGTTTTATTATACCTTATTGACAATATCTCCTCTTTTAAAAGATGTTGTAGCTGTTGAGCCTTGCTTCACCGTCACTTCATTGCTTATCGCTTCCACGATATTCCAAAACGGTAGCATACGCAAGCTCCGCTAACCGAATTTAATAAAACATTAGATTACGCCAAATTTATAGATTAACTTTTGGTGTCACAATCGATAGAGTCTAATCGAGTGGAAATGGAAGTCAAATCGATTCGGGAAATCAATGGCGATACCTGGCCTTACTGTAATTTATTAAAACAACTACTGATCCAAAGCAGTATCACCCCCGCTACTTGTATGCCAAAATGCTATAGCAAATAATGTTTTAAACAGAGCCCTTCACTGCAAAAACAGGTCTGAAAGCATAAGATTGGGAATATTGAAATATATATATATATATATATATATATATATATATCACACACACACACACACACACACACACACACCCACACATACATATATACATGCATATACATATATATATACATACATATATACATGCATATACACATATATATATACATGCATATACATATATATATATACATATATACATGCATATACATATATATACATACATACATGCATATACATATACATATATATACATGCATATACATATATACATGCATATACATATATATACATACATACATGCATATACATATACATATATATACATGCATATACATATAT